TGAGCACAAAAGAACAAACACCACACTTACTAATGAACAACACGGGAATTTCACCCTACGCACAGCATCCGCTCACTAATTCTAAATGAAATTTGTGTAGTGTTTGCTTAGTATCACAAATTTCAACTTATCATTTGTTCCTTAATTCTGACACCCCAAGACTAGGGTTTTGCAATACTTTTTTGCAATTTTCTCTTCTAATAGTTGATTTGAAACAGTTATATACGTGCAAACGTATTATTAATGCTCGTAAATCAAGTTAAGCAGCTAATAAGATTTTTTTTATTATTGTAGGGTGTTTAGGTATGATAACCTCAATAAAGTAATACCAAGGTTGTGGGTTTGGATCCACAAATAGAAATGATGCTTCTACATTCACAAAAATTCTGCTTATATCGTAATTACTACACTATATTTTTAGAAATGCACGCACAACGTTCAATATGTTTTCTTATACTGGTTTCACTTAGTTTTGTGGTCACTGGAGTAACATATAAAAAGTAACAAGTAGCTTAACAGGCAGCCAACAGGCCATACTAACGATTCTTTATTTCCAAATTTGACCTCCTGTGAATGCCACTCAGTATGGGCCACAAAGAAAGAAAGAGAGAGAGGGAATGCTTGCTTCTCCCAAACAACCTCAATTTCTCGCGAGTGTGAACCTGCCGAGCGAGGGCATCGCCAGCGCAGATTCCTTCGTGCTCGGTTTGCGTTGGCTCGGCGCAGCCCGTGGACGGAGCGTCGAGGCTCGCTCTATAAGCGCGTCGCCATCGTCGGGCCAGCAACGTAAATTGCACCGAAACGTCAGATCCCGCGGGATTAAACCTTCGGACCCGAGCTTCGGCGCTTGAAGCGGCCGGGACAGATTTATGGCTGCGGCCAACACCCCGCTGTGGAGGCCACTGAGCGTATACCGCTACGCGCGAACTGGAGCTAATACCGCAGGGCGTCCTCTCGCGCTCCATTTTCACTCTCCCCTCCTGTCCTCTTTCTTTCGCTCATGTTTGCGACTCGCCCAAAGGTAGTCAGACCTTAAGCCATTGTCACGAGGCAAGCCGCAATAGCGTTCTAAGCATACGCGCACGACGGGAAATAAGCGCGTCATTCCGGAATTTTTCACTGCTCGGCAAAATGTAGACGTGAAAAGGACGCCAGAATTCACGGACCGTCGCAATAAAGAAACATTGCACGGGAAGGGACAGTTTCGTGTGTGTGTGTTACTGGGCAAAGTGGTTCCTGCAGAATTTGACAGAGCTTTCGCAGGTGGTTCCGAATTTGCCTGATGGTGGAAGAGTGAAGCTGAAAAAAAATAGAAATTCTCGTACAGGAATAGTTGGTGGTATATATCAAATAACGTCACTCAGTGCCACATGTGGATCGTTATTTTGGTTCCACGTTTCGAAGAGCAAAGTTTTCGCTCGATCCCTTTGCACTCTGTGTACACAAACGAAAGACGAAGCAATTTTATTTCAATACATTTTGACGTATACTTTATGCTCGAATCGGACACGAAAAGTAGACGGAATGCCCAACTTTTTTCGGGTATAGTTTGAAGGTCGGAATGACCACCCGAACAAATGACCAGTTTTCTACTCAACAGTTAGGTAAATCTTAGAAAAGACTAGAAAGGAAAGACGGAGGGAGGGAGAGGAAGATATAAAGTGAGAGGGAGAGATATGGAAACGAAGTCCGTAGACACCACCCCTACTGTTCTCTCGGCATTTATCACACATGGCGTTCGTACTCCCAACTTCAGTTAAAGGCGACGGGGCTGTGCTCGTGTCATTACGTATACTTGAGCTACGCCTCCAAAAACCCCCACAACTTCTCGTCATGAGCAGTTAGACGTTTCTGTTGAATTGTGCATGCTTTGGCTGCTAACGCAATGACAAAAAAAAAGAGGAGGGGGGAGCGGAGGCCATCGGGTTATTTGCCTTCGGCTGTTCACTCCTCTTTCAAAGAGCGCTCTGCTGCATTGGTATCGAGAAGCTGCTCGTCCGTACACATCCATTCCTCCCTCCTCCTCCGGTTGTCCCGGTATCGGAAAAAGAGGCGGAAGAAGATGAAAAAAAAAATGCGGGCACCCTGTCGTCTTTTGCTATCCTGTACAACGCCAGAGAGCCGCTCCCCCAACTATCGGTTTTTTTTTTCTTGTTCCTAGCGATCCACGACTGGCACCTTTGGCGAGAGACTGACCGGGGGTGCTGTGTCGCACCCTGTCCACATAAAGTGCGCCACCGGAGAGGCACAGGGAAGCGTGACACGTTCCGCCGCGTCAGCTTCTGTCTCGCTCCTCTAAGCCACCTCCTCCTATATACACTGCACCCTCCACTCTGCCGCTTCCATGCTCCACTCTTACCCATCTCTTCCCCTTCTCTCTCGCTTTAAACTCAAGCTCTCAGCAACCGCCTGCTATAAAGCACTCCTTCCTGTGCACTTCCTGCTTTTGTTTCTCCAGTTTGTCGCAATAAGCACCCGCTGTCCGTCATTCTTTGTCTCTCATTTTCATTATTTTTCTGTCTGTGTGTGTGTACCCATTCTTTCTCGGCACCGAATAAATTTCTCGGCATCGCCTAAATTGTTTCACTGTTGCCTGTGTCCGCGCGCGCGAGCTTTTCCCGCCGATATGGGTGACCTCCATTTCGTGTTTGTTTATGGGCGGCTATTTAGAGAGAGCGCGCGCTTTTCGGGCACCGCCGCCGTGTCAGGCGCATTGTCTACGGCGTAAACATGGTGGCCCTCTGGCGGAATGTGTGGGAGCAGGCTCGGTTCTTCCTTATGCTAGAATAACTTTCTTCTTAATGAGGCAACCGGCACTTTTGCATGTCGAAGTGTTTGTGTCAAAATACATTAATTATCCCTCCTAGTAATGTAGCACGCGAACAAAGAATTTTCGACTCGCAAAAACAACGCCTCCTGCCTCGACTTCGTGTGTAGCCAGTCCAGAAAGAAGACCATATGCATGCACATACATCGTTTTCGCGGGCTGTGATGGCAAAGTAAGTCTTTTACGAGGTCAGCCGTCTTCGAAAACAATTCGTTGCGTCGAATACGTCTGGTAAATTATGGGTATGATGCAGGCATGCCCAGAAACAAACATATAAAAGAACCACGTGTGTGCTGCCGCTTATTCATGACAACTCAAGCTAACATCAGACCAAATGTGGACGTTCTGCGACCGCTGCATTACAGCCACGGGGATGATAAAAACAAGTTGAATTGAATTGAATTGACTTTATTTCTTCTGTCTACAACAAAAAAAAAGCAGAATCTAAAGGCCATGTGGCCCGACAAAGGCTTCTGCTCCTACCACAGTTCGGCACGCAGGCAGTACGCAACATAAGTCAGTAGAAAATATAGTGTACATACATATTCAACTGAATAGTCGCGAAAATTAACAACATGGGTACAAAAAAGTAGAAAAGTGAGAATAAAAACGTCATGTTTGCAAAGAAACAACAACAAAAAATTTATGTAACAACAGTAGTGAAGTAGAGACTTTTGTGCTCTGAATTGAGTGAACACTGCAAGAAAACATGAGAGCTACCGGTCCCCAGTTCCTCAATGTAGGGACGAATTCGTGAAATGTACAGTGAAAACGCGTCAGTGAAGTTCTTTTTTCAGACTCCAGCAAACACGCACTCTTATTCGTAAGCTAGATTGGTATAACTTTTTCCCGTAATATTTTATTTTTATGCGACCCTTGTTTAAGCAGACTGTGTTGATGCTACCAAAAATGTACGGCTAAGCATTCGAAAATTTTACTTGATTCAAGGTCTCCAAGTGATTCAAGGGATTCAAGGTCTGTGAATGAACGCAGTTCTTAAAAGAAAAAAAAATATGACAGATAGACTATAGCATCCGTTTTGCCAAAGTTCAGGCTCGCAAAGCTTAGGAGCACCTACACTGACAAGCCTGCAAGAAAACCGATACCACGTGAAGGTTGGAAACATTAGGTGAAACGCTTTCTCGTAGCGTTTAAAACAATGCATACACTTCAAATGCAGCAGATTTCGGCAGAAAAAAAGTGCGTTCTAATTCACTGTTTCTTCCGTGGATTCCCCGAGAATGCAGTAAAATATGAATTATGTATTTGGGCATTCAAATTAGATAACAATATAACCCGCAGCATTGCCATTGTCAGTGCTGGATCAATTGCATGCACTCGACAAAAGTAGTGTGAGTAAGAATTTATTAGAAGGCAGAGAGGTCGGCCTGAGCTAGTTCGCTCTAGCCTGCTACTCTACACAGGGGATAAGGGAAAGGGGAAGGAAAGAGGGATGAAGGGTGATGATGGGGACAAGAAGAGGTGGTGCGTATGTACAGTATCCACTTAGCATAGTACCCTACAGTCTAGTTTCAAAAGTGATTTTATATAGGCCATTCTGAGGCCATTCTTCATTCTTACTAGTGAACTAAAAGATGTAGCATTTGATGGATTTCGTAAAGCATACGTCACTCGCCAATATCAAAATGCAATGTAATGACGTGTGGATTGGAGCACACAATAGCACACTCCCGACTGCGTAACTTGCGGAAACCAATCAATCCTAAATTATCTAGATTTCTCGCAATTAACTGAGCCAGCATTAATTCACCGAATACATTCAGCCGATTCCAAGAATAGCGGTTCCACCTCCTCCGAAGATCGCTCCGTGGTGCATTAACACAACACTGCGATGCTAATTTTTTTCTGTGGAACGAGATTATGCTGAGCCTGAGATGGTTTGACACTTTGACATCACTCCGAGTTCAAAGATATTCGTCATGTTTGGACCGATGGAGAGCCTATTTTCTCATGACACCTCGTGAACTGAGTGCTGGCGTCACCAACTTGCCGAAAGGAGAGCAAACTAAAAAAAAATTAAGGCGCTCGTTTATTGCGTTATCAGAGATGTTCTACGGGTCCTTCCGAAAATTTTTCTTCATTTTCTCTGTATCTATCTCTTTCTTTCTGGATATCCAATCTTTTAATGACGTATTACTTTTTCTTATTGCAGGTGTTGCTGCAAATTGGGACGATTGGTGGACATACGAAGGCATCTCAGGTGAGTTATCTAACGATGATCAGAACTGATACCGAAAAAAAATTTGTCTCGTAACGAACACTGCATTAACAACGAATATAAGAACATGATTAGAGATCCCTGAACCTACTCAGCTTTCAACCTTCTATTAAACTACACCTTTGGAAGGGGAGCGATTTGAAAGGCCACAAGCTTTGTGGCTGTTTCTGAAATCCCTTCAAACGCTAGGTATACGATGGCCCGTGCGCAAATGTGCCCAATATTTACATTATTTGAAAGGATTCGACGTTATATTTCAAGAAATAAATGGCGCTACCATGTTCCTCGGTGCAAGTTCCAGAAATTTGTCATAGTTAGCGCGTAAACAATTACATCTACATTCTACAGTTGATCTATCTGCTATTATTCGTGAAAAGTGGCAATATGTGGCTTTATGGATCACGTCATATTACATTAAGGTCGTGGGATTTTCGGTACGCCGTCGGCCCACGTGCATGCACTCGTCTACCACGAGGCTTTTGAGCGACCTTTATTAGTCTTCCTTTTATTCATACTTTGTCTTGAAAACACCCTCTCGCGATGTCTCACAACATCTCGAAATTTATATACTCGCTGGGGCGTGTATGGATTTTGCCTTAGGAACTGTCTTATCAAGTGAGTTGATACTTTTAGCTATTTTTCCTTCTCCCTGTACGAAGGGATTTTTATGCCATGGACAAGCCACGTAGGTAAACGCGTTCGTAGTACTACTATTGAATAACTTTTTGTATTAGCAACATTCAATGAAACCATAGTGCTGATAAAACAGGTACCACAGAAAGTCGACCGAGAAACACGCCTATAAGGCAAGGAAGGAAGGAAGGAACAGGGGATAAAGTAAGGCACAGATGTTAACCAGTCCATACAAACTGGGGTGCCGCCTTACGCACGGGAAAGGGAAATAGATAAGAGATAGAGAAACGGTGAGGGGAGGGATAGAGCTCTTAATCTGAACACGATATATTCATGACCGGGTAAACGTTCAACACAATGGTACAGTTGAACAACACAAAGGAAAGGAAAAAAAAAAAACCTCATGCTGTCCCTTCTGGATTTCCCTCCCAACCAAAAAAAAAGGAAAACGTTAGGCAGACCCCACGCAATTAGGGAATCGACGTTATGCGAAGCATGCCGAGAAAGTGTGATTGCGTTGTAATTTTTTATTAGGCATCTTTAGTCAGCCGTACGCACCAATCCACGATACGTTACGCTGAGCACGATACGTCGAGTATACGCTGCCAGCGAGATGCTCAACAAAATGTCTAGTTTACCGTAGCGACCGTAGCGGGATGTGCTTTGTTCAGCTAGACATGCATGTCATATTGGAAATTAAACAGCTTTCGAGTTCTTCGTAGCGTCATCGTGAGGTAGCGGCCGTGAGAACGTACCGCTGGCATCCGAGTTAAACTGAATCGTTGGATCCATGGTTTTAGGTCCTGTGCTATTTTGCAATCTCGCTGCTCTTTCATTCGAGATGTCACATGGATGTCACGTAGCCAGCGCTACGTAACGTTAAGTTTGCGTGTGCTAGGTTTGCTTTGTTGTTTCTTTTTTCGGGCGTACGCACGTATTCATGGAATACATACGTTACGTATTGCGCAAGCGCATTTCTCTCCCGTAGTCAAGCTCCGCACGTAGGCTCGTTACGTACGCCCAACTCAATGTGTGTATTGAGCGAAGCGTTACAAAATGATGATAAAGATACGTACGAATGTTGTACACACAGATGTAGTATGTTAAACAGTCGCATACGTTACGTTATGTAACGTCATGATAACGTCCTAAATTATGATAACTTGTGACGTTATTATGAAGTCATAGGACGACGTCATCCCAGGTTGATGCTGCGAGAGCGTTTCAAAGCATCTCACGCTTTCACTGGTGTTGACGTCAACGGTCCGTTTTCACTTTTGACCAGACGTCTAATGCTTTCGCCTTCAAAAAAAAAAAGGAGTTCTCGCGAAAGTTGTAGGCCCTTTCACTTACAGGGTACGAACGGTGCATGCATAACGGTGTTGCGAAAACTCGACCCACTCATTGTTGCAACGTGGCCACCGGGTTTGGGTCACGCTTGTTAAACTCGGCCGAACCGCGGAGTCAACGAGGGAGGAAAAGGCGGCGAGTCGCCGCCGCGGGCTGCTTGCTGGGTTGAGCGCCCCTTTACGACGAGGAGATGCGGCGTTGGTTGCCGGAAGCTTTTCGCCTGCAAATTAAAGGGTTCGCGGCTCTTTTATCCGGCCATGCGGCGAGGACGCTCCGCGTGCAGCTCGGCGGTGCGCAGCATTCTACAGGAGCGGAAGTCGGGTGGTATACTGTGGCGCTTCAATAGACTATAGAGATTACCGATTGCGGCAAAATATAGGAGGAAATTGGAAAACAAAGTTTTATGACAGAGGAGGCCGTGTTTTGTTCTTTGATGCCCGAGCTCTCAACTCGAAGACTAACATATTGTAATTACTATTGGCGATATGATGTTCCATTTTCAACAAGCGTTCAGAAACTACTCTGCACGCCATATACTAGAATGTCAAGATAGTCGCCCAGCGTGCATCTGTCCCAGAAGTTGGGATTCATATTGGGTGGAAGTATTCACTGGTCAGCGGCCGAGATAAGCAAGAGACTTTCACAGTATTGCTATGGAAGCTATTGATGAAGCTGAAGTTGATGAGGTTATATGTAGCAGCACATAATTTAATTTATATTTGTCAACAAGGTTTCCGTACAGGGTCAGGAATGTCCTGCTTTTATTTGCTTTTGATTGTGGTCAGAGATTCGTTTTTAATTGTCTTGATGTCTGTTCCTTAGCAGACTGAGTTTCCGTCCGACTATTGATTTCAGTTAGGGCCTTGCAGAAAGAATGAGAATCACATACCCAAGATGTTGCGTATCACCTGGTGAAACATTACGTGAATGCAATACGCATGCTATGGTAACTGCTTGTCACAGCCCTGTTTCCAAAGGGGACACCAATGACGATCATCATCATTGACAAGCAACAAGATCGATTGCAGTTAAAAGACAATATATCTTACATCTGACGGCTTAACTGGGTTACGTGTCTACCGACAGCACTCGCCGGGCCCACTCATCTTGTTTACTGCGCCCCAATTAACGCTCAATAGGCTGTGCATTTTGAAACAACGCCACAAATGATGCGCTCGCGTATCTTTCAGTAAGGCTTTTGCTTTGCCGTAACTTCAGCAAGTACTTAACGCTACCAGGGTCTGTCAACAGATAGCAGCGGAAATGACATTGTGGACTATCCAGATATGACCCGTTGATGTCTTCAGAAACGCCGACTGCCTGCTGTCTTTGCCGTACATCTTTGACGTCACTGAGCGACGCGCCTAGCGTACCCAAGAGGGAGCAGTTAGCACACTCTTCGTTTGCCTCCTCATGGATTCACAATCGCGTGTCGTTTTTGTACCCGTTGCTACCATAAAAATAACACTCTGTACAGTGGTTTTAGACGAAAACGAGAAGCAGGCACGTGGCATTGTAATGTAAAATCACATCACATCGTCGCTTGATCAAAAGTGCGCGAATCACGGAGGCAGCGATAAACCACTTTAGGTGCAGAGAGATTTGGTAGGCGTGCGAGGTAGGACCAGTGCATCGACTGAGAATAAAGAGAGGAAGAATGTGTATTCCGTCTTCCAGTCGTCTTAGGCGCATGCATGAGAGGCCCCGTGAGTTTTAGGGGCGAAACTCTGTAGGGCCCAGCCATATGTCCGCAGTCGTCCCCCGATGACCGTGATGAACAAGCGCCCTCCAGATCACGCGTTCTCTTTCTGCCACCGCGGCACAGCACATGCAAGGTAGCCACTACACGTCATTACGACGACGCTAATGACAATGAAGAACAAGTCCGTTCCAGATCATCCATTCTTCCATCACGGCAAGGTACCCGCTGTAGGCCCGACCATAATGATGACGCTGATGACGATGACGATCACGGACAGCGACCGTATTTCGCAGTATTTGACGTCTCGATATGCTCTACGATGCATTTCGTATGACTGGAAACAACCAACGAAAACCAGGAGAGCGGGCACCCAGACTTCGTCTTTGCCGGCTTCAGGCTAGATCTGATACCATTATCATCATCATCATCAGTCTGACTACATCCACTGCAGTCCAAAGGCCTCTCCCATGTTCCACCAGTTAACTCGGTCCTCTGCTTGCTGCTGCCAATTTATACCCGCAAACTTCTCAATCCCATCTGCCCACCTAGCTTTCTGTCTCCCCCTGACCCGATTGCCTTCTCTGAGAACCCAGTTAGTTACCCTTAATGACCAGCGGTTATCCTGCCTGGGCGCTACATGCCCGGCCCATATCCATTTCCTCTTCTTGATTTAAACTATGATATCATTTACCCCCGTTTGTTCCCTAATCCACTTTGCCTTCTTGTCTCTTAAGGTTACATCTATATATACCCTTAAAATTACTTATGTATGCCTTTTGTAGTAAAAGACGCACATGCAGATGATATACGTATACCATTTATCTTTCCATTGATCGCTGCGTCTTCCTCAATTTAAGCTGAACCCTCTTTGTCAGTCTCCAGGTTTCTGCCCCATAGCTAAGCACCGGTAAGATACAGCTGTTATACACGTTCCTCTTGAGGGATAGTGGCAATCCATCCGATACCACAAAGCACTAATAAAGAAGGCAATATGGAATTCGTAACTCAACACAACATACAATTTATGACTAATAAACATTGTGTGTAACTGTACACCGCTTTGACAATCAATTACATGCGTGAGAGGTCATTGTCACGGTTGACTTACGGTGACACCGAACGGTCCCACTGCTTCGTCCACTCATCATCATTCACTTCGTGGACACGTTTGATTTAGGGCGGCGGCAGAAGTCTATCGCAAGGGACACCGAAATCAACTTGGGGCCAGTTTTATTGTTCTAAATGCAACCATTATCATGCAATGTTGTCTTTATCAGTCGCTGTCTTGCCTGCTGGA